AAAATAAAATAAAATAAAAAAATAAAAAACTATATTTTTAAAAATGTACAAAACTAAACATCCTACAGTATTTTTACTGTCTTTATGTTACAGTTAAAATATATGTTTATCAAATAAAGTCTAATGTTACAACTAATCAGGGATCCCTTTAAACTTCTGGGAAATCTAAGAACAGCTCAATGTTTTAGGGCTGTAGAACAAAAAGTGTTTGTTTTCAGTTCATGAGCAGGACAAGGAGAAGATCCAGGGAAGAGTCTGTGATTCAGTCGACGGAGCATGAAAATGAATTTATGAGGAGATGTTTTTTTGGACAGGTGACTTTAAAGTGAGATTTTTTTTTATCGTGCTATAAGTGTTGAAATGAAACAGGGAGTGCGCAAGAAAAAGAAGCAAGAACCAAGAAGGAATGGGCAAAAGATGAAAAAAAAAGATTTGTGTTATATATTTGGGTGTCATATTGAACAACCAAAAGTGTTTTGCTCTGATTTATTTTAAAAATCCCTTTTCACTTATTATTCTGTGGGGTTTTCAACGCAGCTTCTTCTAAAAGCAGAAGGAAGGAAGGAAAACAGGCCATCTGCCGATTTCTTTCATTTCATTTCATTTTAAGTGCCTCCAGTCAAATCGAAAACCCTTCATTTAAAGCCACCTGTTCCTTATAAATATGAATTGGTCATTAATCTGGTATCTGGATGCGTGCACATGTGCTGTCACTAATAAATGCAATCTATCTCTGGTATGCTGCGGTTTGCGAAGCCTGCTTTTTCGCTTAGTTACTGATTTACAACATGCTGTATCTGTACGCTTCGTGCAGAAACAAGCATCACTAACGCACAGACGTGTCTCTGATGACAGCTGATGTAAAGACACCAAACACATCACTGTAACGTGCTGCAGCATGCGTGACCACAGCAACACATCTGAATGGCAACAGACTGCAGGAGGAAAAATGGAAACTGGAATGAAAACTGGATCACTGACCTTTAAAAGGTTTTTGGTGAATTTCAGTAGGAAATAACTTTGTAATTTAAAAACCTTTTGAAACAGAATTTTTTACTGGAAAATTCTGCACTGATTCATTTTTGATAAATTAGGACATTCTTCTTGCATGTTTTTTTTTTTTTTTGATGATGTGGCACCGAGTGTAAATTGAAATGTTAAAAAATTTCACTAAAATATTTTTTATTATTTAGCTCACTGTACTTACATTTAGCTATTTTTTTTTACTAAATGTTAAATTTAAATGTTAAAAATATATATTTAAATATTAAATCCTAAATTTATACATTCAAATATAAAATTTAAACCTCAAGTGTTGATGTTAAACGTTGAAGTTCACATTTAGGTTATTTTGGAATGGAACACAGCCTTTGCTGTTGGTGCTCGGCTCATGTTATGATGTCATCATCCTGAGACAATGGCAACTGCTAGCACTCCAATGCAGCTACAGCTTCTGGACACGGTATCAAACTTGTAGTTATGGCTGGTGTCTGAGCTGCACATCAATCTGCTGAACTACAGGTACCATCCAAATTGTTTTTTATGAACACATTTTGAATTTTGAATTTAAATATTATCTTCAACAGCGTTAGCAGTGGCTAGCGGTGGCTAGCAGCAGCCATTGGCTGTGTCCAAAACGGCAGGACGGATCCTCCGAAGGCCGAAATCGTCGGCCGCATTCGTCACAGCCCCGCAATGAAGGACGTCCAAAACCGAAGACTCCTCCGATGCGGCCGACAAATACGTCCTTCCTTTTCCCCGATTTGAAGGACAGTTCTGATGGATCCTTCCTGGCCCAACATATCCCATAATGCATTGCGGCCCGACCGGAGATTTGTTTAAGCTAGTAATGGCGGACGAAGCCAGAGAAAAGAATACTGTATGTTTTAAATAAAAATATGGTGATAAGGAAATTTTAAAAATTAGCGGTTGTAATTCTAATACTTTTATCATTTGTATGGACATGTTTTTAAATATTATTTTTATCATAAAAAACGCACAATAAACATGCACCTACAGCGGGTCAATTAGTTCTTCAAATGTTACCTTTAAGTTAATTTTATAGTTTTGTGATATTAATTATACTAATATATTGATATTTTTCTAGTTTTGATTTAAGTTTGCTTGTTTAGAGTCGTCACAGTTGCTAGGTGACATGACATATGCAGGGGTAAGGAGGGGAGGCTAGACCGTCCAAATTCACAGCCTCTTTTTTTCCTGGTCTTCCCGGTCTACCAAGGACCCGACCCGCCTCGACCAGGGAGTCTGGGTCCTCCGGAGGACCCGGCCTGTCATTTTGGACACAGCCATTATTGATGTTTGTCACAGGAGGATGATCATTCTGATTATCTGATGCTAATTTCTGCTAACACATCTAACACTGTCTTGTTTGTATTAAGATACAGTATGTACATTGGTTATTATAAAAAGAAGGAGATATTATAAGACCCACCATGTCTCCCAGGTGGTTCATCCCCATCTCATAGGAGTGCATGCCCAGCGCTGCTTCCTGGTTGTGAGCTTCAATCATACGCATGTTCTTCTCCCAAATGGCTCTGCGGATCCCTTCTTCATTCTGAGGCAGGAGACACATTATTAGACTTAATATTTACAAAAGTTGTTCTCAAACTTTTCATGGTAGACATTTGTGATGTCAACAGGTTTTTGTGTAAAAAAATAAAAAATAAAAAATACAACACAAACTGACAGTTTAGATTTTATTTTTTTTTATAAATGACAACTTGATCCAGACTAACTCTATTGAATAGCTACATAAAGTAAAGCCACAAACACACAAACATACACACAAATTGATGTTACACACTAATTTGATTTTTATTTCCTATTTCCTAACTCGAGTAGTCGCTTATTTACTTTAAAAGCCCACAGCTGCAGGCACTCAAGCCGTTATGATGTGACTGTAGAATAAAACCAACAAACCGGGCTGTGCAGTGGCTCAAAGAAACTCTGACCTACATTCAGCCGCTTCAAAAATATGAAAAAAAGGACGGATTTTCACGAAATGTTTAAACATAAAATAAAGAATCCAACCCTTCATTAACTTGTGCAAACAATATTTGTAAGCCAACACACATATATAAATAAGTAATTAATTACATTATAACCTGTCCGTATAAACACCTGATTGATGGAAGCTTATCTGGACAAACAGGGCTAATATGCACTATAATTAGCTTTTTAAAATACATGTGTATAACCTGATTTTATAAATTAGGCCATTTTAACTAACAAGCGTTCATGCAAAAATCCCCTTTTACAACTAATGCAGACGTTCTAAAACAATAGTTTGATACTATTCTGTTAACTGCTCATAAAGTTCCCATTTTTTAGGTTCAGGTTCCACACAGAGAGAAGATACAAGATGTTGATGACCTGGAAGACTTCACTACAAAGCTTTAACCACCATTAGCATAACTCATCATGCTGATATCCATTTCAGGAATGCAAAATGCAAATGCTGCCAGTAGGCTGTGTTTCTATTAACAGTTTAATGAGAGCTGAACATGTCTGAAGAAATTATGTTCAAGTCTGCATCCCTAACCTTACAAAATCAATAAAACACTGTGCACATTATTAACCTAAAACAAGCAATATAAAACACACGTTTGCACACAGCCTGATGCAGACACACTCCACAGCTGTTGACTGCTGACCTCCAGCCTCAGGTAAAGAAGAAAGACAGATATTTGTCAAGCATGAAGTAGGTAAATCTGCAGTTAGCAACACCGAGTATGTTTCTGTAGAGCTAAAGCTATTAAAGACTTTTTTAAATAATTCGTATTTTAATAAATTATAAATTAATTTTATCATTAATTGGGGAAGCACCCCTTTTAAAGTGGGAAAAATTAAATTACTTCCATTATTATTATCAGTTTCAATAACCCTTAAAATATGGGAGTTCTTTTAATTTGAAGGGATCACAAAACACGTTCAAGACAGGTGAAGCTGTGAATTTAACTGAACTGAACATTACAGCACTTATTACCAATTTTATAATTTAACATTGGAATAAAACATTTGATTGTGGTGAAAGAAAAATAACGACTTGGATAGAAAAGCACACACGATGGAAATTGAGGCACAAGACGGAGCTGTGATGAGTTTGGAGCGAGCGTTCGATGATGAGGGTTGGATGGGAAACCATCAACAGGGCAAGAGTTCTGGGTTCTGAGTTTCATTAAAACCCTCTCAGGCACCAGCGATCCATCTGCCAGAGCAAAATGAAAAATTTGCCTTTCCGGGAGATGAATTTTGAAGCTCCTGAGATCGATCCGGTGCAGGATGAATCAAAGGTTTGCGCTCTGAGACAACGAGGTCTCTCCTCTGGGTGGTTTGTCAATGAGCTGAATTTAGGTGCGGAAAGTCAGGAACCACAGTCCGGAGGTACGTCAGATGGTTCTGATGACCTTAGTGGGGCTGAATAAGCATTTCACTAAACACATTTAGTCTTTTAATGTCCAGGTTGGAAACAAAAAGTCTTTCATTCATGACACAAATTACCTTTAAACCAGGCACGGGCAATCCTGGTCCTTGAGGGCCGCAGCCCTGCATGTTTTACTTGTTTCTCTGCTCCAACACACCTGATATGAACGAATAGATGATTATCAGGCTTCTGCTGTACGGAGGACCAAAACTGACATAATTAGAAATAAAAGCAGATTTATATGAACCACTAAATAAATACACAAAATGCACCAATTAAATTTAAAAAGGAGATCTTAATCTCCTGTTTTATATTTTAATTGACTTTCATATTTATTTTTCCAGGTTAGTTCCAACAACTTAGTCTATATATATGAACACATAATTAAAATTTTACTGTTTTTTAAAATACTGTATATATTAATTGTTTTTCTTTTACTTGTACATGCATTTGTATGTCTTAAATGTTTATACTTACTTATTTTTATATTTTTTCCAACAAGTCTTTTTATTTCAGTGTTGCATGCTCGTGCCTCAGTTTAGCTAAAAGTTTAAAGTTTAGTTTAAAACAAAGGCAAGGAGGAAAACATTACCTGTGCATTTATTTTTAACTAAACTAAGCTAAACTGAGGCAGCACAATCATGCAACAAATAAAATGATTTGTTGGACAAAATGAAAAAAAAAATTCAATTTAAGCATTCAAGGGACACAAATGCATGTACAAGTAAAAGGAAAAACTATGTAAAATATACTGTATATTAAAAAATAAAATTTAAATTATGTGTTAAATATATAATTTATTGGAACTAAGCTGGAAAAATAAATATGAAGGTCAATTAAATTATAAAACAATGAGAAGTTCTACTTTTTAATTTATTTGGTGCATTTAAAATGTATTTATTTATTTAATGGTTCATTTATCTATTTCTGCTTTTATTTCTAATTATGTCGGTTTCGGTCCTCCATACCGCAGAACATGAAGAGGTAGTTCTGTGACTGAATCAGGTGCGTTGGAGCAGGGTAAAATGTAAAACATGCAGGGCTGCGGCCCTCGAGGACCAGGATTGCCCAACCCTGCTTTAAACGGAAAGAGCTTATCTGTGAATTTCTGCAGATGCAACAGGGATTAAAGTAATAATTCCTACTGAGAGAAGGAAGAAATTACTTTAAGTTTTGTGACAGTTTTCTTCAAGAGTGCATTTCCCCAAGTTTCCACAACCAAAAACTTATTAAGAATAGATCAGACCAGAAAAGGGAGAAGACAGAAAATGAGTCAAAGGTGCAGGGAGTTTCCTCTGCTGGGAAGTTTTGACACCTGCTCATGTGATACTCCATCAGAGAAGAAGATGACCTAGATTAACAACTAAACTTGAAAATAGGTTAATTAAAATTTCCCTCATGATTTCAGTCCATATACTGATTATCATGATTAGGGCAATGATTCTGTGATTTATATCAGATAGAAATGGCACCTAAATAATCTATTTGCATAAAAATATAATTAAAATGTGACAATTTTTTAACAAAATACAGCTACAACTGAAACTACTACCTGGGACTTTTAATACAGTGAACTATAAGTCAATACAATAAGTTGGAGACGGTCAGAGGTCATGGGTCCAAATGAGACATTTTATCAAAACCTCTGGACCTTTCTTTAGTATTGGTAATATTTGCATATTAAACCAAAAATAATTATATTCTTTGGCAGATATATAAATAAAACATCTATTACAGTGTTTCAAAATTTAACTAATTTAACATTAAATATTCATGGAAACATCTAAAAAGGATCTTGCGGCTGCTGATACAGCAGGAACTGATCTGCTCAGAGAAACAGACGACACTAAACTCAGAGCTGCTAAAATGAGTCAGACCCAGACTCTGAGCCCAAATGAAGAGTTAAAGAATGAAGATGTGAACAGTTTGAAACTAGACGTGCGCAAACAGAAGGGAAAGAAACTAATAATTGTTCTCATGACTTAGGTGTGAATACTAAAATACATCATTTTATTTCTGAAAACAACAAAAAAGTAAAAAAAAGGTTTTAATATTTTGTTGAAATGTTTATTTAGTGATTTATACTAAATCATGTTATCAACTGTACTTTTTGGCTGTATAAATTTAATGTTTTTGTCAAACACATTTAAAAATAATAAAAAAAATACATATTGTGATAAGCTGAAGCAGCTTTTTGTAGCTACAAAGGTTCACCGCTTGTAATTTTTGAACCTCAAAATTGTTCGAAGTTGACAAAATATTTGTGTCGTGTTTTTGCAGACGCTCACCAGGCCGTTGTACTCTTTTTTGTGAGTGATCTTCCACTGGTCCCACTGAGCGTCCAGTGACGCTTCATCCAGGTAGCCCAGAGCTGAGGCAGCCAGCAGCAGCACACACACACACGACAACATCCTACAAACACACAAACTGCCACTTATACTTCCATCCATCAGAACATATTACATATCTAAAATCATCTTATTTAGCACTAAATATTTGTGCAGATACATTTTAATGATTTAATTTGTACAAAAACATGATTTAGTTTTACACACCGGTCAACAAATTCACTGTGTAGTTTAGAAAAAGATTTTATTAACATTTTGTGATTTGCTGTAACAGAGTTTCAAGCAGCTGTTTGTCACATGTTGGTTTCAGATGAGAAACAGGATGGTGTTTTTCAAAGGAAACGCTTCGTCAGCTGATTTTGGAAAGGCAAAAAAGGTGACTCAGAACAAATCACTTACATCCAGAGGTTTGTTTTGAATTAGAGGAGAAAAGGGTAAACTCATAAACTCAAAACTTTTCTGTTTTTGCCCTGAGAATCATTTCACGTCCCTCTCAGCGCTCTGTTGTCCAGCTGTTTGCAGCACAAACAGCATTTGTTTTATTACCTTGCGCTGCTAATTTGCATTTTTGCAGTTTTCACCGAAAGCCAGCTGCTCTCCAAGTTTACTGAACCAAAAGCAGAAACTAAAGTGTTTTCTTTAGGTTTGAAAATATGCACAGCCTCCTGTGTTACCCTGTTTCCTTCCTACGCACATTGATTATATACTGGATGAACGACACGGCGTCACCTTTTGGGTGATTCAATGGTTTGCTTGGTTTTGAACAGTAAATGTGTGTTTAATTTAAAGTGTGGGCGTTGAGTCGTATGAGTCACATGAATCCTTGTGATGGTTGTTTGTGCTTTACAAATAGTTTCCATTTTAAATATATTG